CGGCTGCTGTGCTTTGCCCGCTTTCTTCCGAGTCCGAAGTGTGGATGTCCGCAGGGCTGCCTACCTGCTCTAACATCCCACCTTCGTCGCCAATTGTTAGATCGCGCTAACAAAGGACTCTTAGAGTGATTCAGCAAGTGATTCAGCTTTATTGGAAGTAACGAACAAGCACTCAACTCAGTAAGAAACCAGAACGGAAAACAGTGGGAGCTTATGCTCCTTTTAAACATAACCGGGCTAATGTAGCCACGCCTATTTACAAATAACAACCAATAAGATTGCTTGGTTAAAGACCAATGAGAAGCTTTCCCTCGCAGGGGAACAGTTCAGTTCTGATTGGTCGCTGTTACAAAGCGACCAATAGGAAGTTCGGTCAGAGGAGCCCTGGCTTGGCTCGAAGCTTAACATGGGTGTCTAATGAGGTGATTCATGTAACTGTGCCAATACATTACACAAACAAATAAAATTCTACCCTTTGAGGGCAGATTTATTTTTTAAAAAAGGAAACGGCGTCTCTGTAAAAGGAACCATATAAACCTTTGCTATATTCTGATCAGAGGTCATTTCGGGGGGGAACGCGGGGGAACGAAGAGAAGCCCCGCCCCCTGCTTCCGGCCGCCCCGATTCCGGCCCTCATTCAGCCAGGAGGAGGCAGGAGAAGAGGGAGGGTAAGTTGCTTCCTCCCTGCCTCTCCCCACCCCTGCCTGCCTGGAGCCAGGGAGGGCCTTCGCGGGGCTTCCTTGCACTCCCGCCGGCCTTGCAGGTCCACCGCCGGGCACCGCTGGGCCCCTCATGGGGCTCGGCAGTGGAGCTGCAAGGCCGGGGGTGGCGGCCGGGACCGTTGGGGGTGGGGGGTGTGGCCTTATGACACACTTCCGGTGATGTCAGGGGGTGTGGCATATGCTAATGAGTTATGCTAATGAGTTCCCCTAGCTCTTTTTCTACGAAACGACCCCTGATTCTGATTCACCCTGATTCAACTGGCTAGCCTGATCTCATCAGATCTGGGACGCTAAGCAGGGTCGCGCAGGGCTCTTTTTGTAGCAAAAACCCATTTGCATCTTAGGCCACACCCCCTAATGTAGCCAATCCTCCAAGAGCTTACAGAGCTCTTCTTACAGGAGCTACTGTAAGCTCTTGGAGGATTGGCTACATTAGGGGTGTGTCGCCTAATATGCAAATGAGTATTATGTGCACCATAAAAGGTAATGCCAGGCAGCGGAGATATAAACTTTATAAAGGACACAAACACAAACGGGTTGTTTTTAACTTAAAATAAAAACATGCTTAAAACATCAGCACTCTTGCAATGTTTTGTTTATTTCAGAGTGTCTGATAACTGACACCTCTTGCTCTGAATTATTGCATCGAAATGTCTGTGCCGCTGCAATCCTGAGTATCGAAATGTCTGTGCTGTTGCAATCCTGAGTATGCTGTTCAGGTGTGTATCTATCAGCTGCAGACCTACGATGACGCAGCAGCAGAACGGGAAGAAGAAACAGGAGATGGCCAGTTCCACTACGAGCTGATAGAAGCCCTCGGGGGGGGGCTGATCCGGCCCCCGGGCTGCATGTTTGACACCCCAGACCTAGGGCAATTTACCCGAGTGAGGCCCCTCCCCTCCCCTCCCCAAACCACACCCTCCCCAGGATCCACCCCCAAAATCTCCAGGTCTTTTCCAACCCGGAGCCGGCGGGCACATCACACCAGGATGCTTGGAGGACAGGCAGGCTCCCAGAGGCAGCTTGACTTCTAGGGTTGCCAACTCCAGGTTGGGAAACTCCCGGGGATTTGGGGGCGGACCCTGGGGAGGGGAGGGCACAAGGCCATGGAGTCCACCCTCCAAAGCCAGCCATTTTGTCCAGAGGAACTGATCTCTGCAGTCTAGAGACGAGCTGTAATTCCAAGGCCCCCCCCCCCAAACCAGGTCCCACTTGGAGGCCGCATGGCACCCCTATTGACTTCTTACCAGGGGTCATTTTGTAGAAAAAGAGGTGCAGGAGCTCATTTGCATAACTCATTTGCATATGCCACACCCCCTGACATCACCGGAAGTGTGTCAGAAGGCAACACCCACCGCTCAGGCTCCACTGGACTGTTTTGGATTGCTAGCTATTGGGGGGTGGGGGAGAAACGAGATTTGCCCTCACAGAGGAGGGAGAGCCTGTACCTGAATAAAACTTAGTCTTAAAGGTGCCACTGGACTGTTTTGGACCAGGGCCCGGGGGGTGGGGCTCTGCAACTTACCTGACTGCTTCTTGCTCTAACTGAGGGCTGCTGGGAGCAGGGGGTGGGGCTTGTTGCATGTGCCCACCCCCTGGGCTCTTTACTGCCGGAGCTCCGCTCCTGTGCGCTCCTGCAGGAAATGACCCCTGCTTCTTACCTTTGGGTTATATTCTGCGTTTCGGGCATGGAGGGCGATGTTTTTGAGATCCAGCTTGCAAGCCAAGTTCACGGTCGCCACGATATTCCTGGGAAAGCCAAGAAAGGCGGCTTTCAGGGAGCGCAAATTTTTTTTAAAAAAAAAGGTCGAACGCCAGTCCCTTACGACGCTTTATCCTTTTTCGACAGGGAAAGGGTTCCAACCCGTGTTCCCTCTAAGCTGAGTGAGTGTGAGCCAGCTCACAGTTCTTTAGCCTCCAGCTCACACATTTTTGTCTCAGCTCAGGGAGGAGGGCTCCAGAACAAACTGATTGAGGCAGCAGCCAAATTGCTCGCTCACCACTTTAATGCCAGGAGCTCACAAAGCAGAATTTTTGCTCACAAGACTCCACAGCTTAGAGGGAGCACTGCCTCCAGCCAATGTTCCCTCTAAGCTGTGAAGTCTTGGGAGCAAAAATTCTACTTTGTGAGCTCCTGGCATTAAAGGTGTGAGCGAGCTATTTGGCTGCTGCATAAATTAGTTTGCTCTGTAGCCATCTTTCCTGAGCTAAGACAAAAATGTGTGAGCCGGAGGCTAAAAACCTGTGAGCTAACTCACACTAATTCAGCTTAGAGGGAACACTGGTTCCAACCCTTTTATCATTCTAGTTGCCCCTTCCCCCACACACACACACTTTTCCTGGTTCCATAATATGCTTTCTGAGGCGGGGTGACCTTCTTGGGTACTTACTGTAACTGTGGGACGATGCCCGAACTTTCTGAAGCGGAGGTCATCGGCGTCATCGGTGTCAAGGAGGGACAGAGGCCAGACGCGTCTGGCAACGGCTGGGCTTCCTGTTCGTCCCCCTGTTGGCAGAGGCCGCCGTCTTCCAAGACCACGACAGTGTCTTGCGTTGCAGGCGGAGTGTCGGACTCCACATTCGGCAGGCCGGTCTCATCGTCGTGGTGGGGATCCTGGCCGAGGTCGTCCGGGAGGAAGCTGAGGTCCACTGAAGAGAAGCTGGTCAAGTAGTCTTTGCTCGGGTCAGGCTGAGCATCGAAAGATGCGTCCGGGGTTGAGGGAAGGGGCAGGTCTGAGGCAAATGGACTCAAGGGAGATAGTGCTGGTGGGCTGCCTGAGGCAAAATCATCCTTGAAAAATACAGAAGAGGGGGCACATGGGTTTGGTTGTGGAATGCTGGCCCCATTCTCATAGGTTCTGTTTCGAATCCTCCGATTCTGCCTCAGACAGCAGCAGCAGTATAATCCCAGATACCCCTGCTGTCTCTCTCCGTGCTCAGAAGCATTGCGAACAGGAAACCGAGGTCTCAGTTCAGTCCAGGAGGATGCATTGTCTTGCAATTGGTAACGAAGCTCACGACAATGCATCCTCCTGGGCTGAATAGAGACCTAGGTTTCCTGTCTCATTCCCAACGCTGATTTCTCCACCCCTCTGCGTATCCCCTAATTCTGTCACACCTGCCATTTGTCATTCACCTGCTATTGTCCCTTGACATCTGAAATCAATCCACTCATCAAGATATCAGGGCAGAGGGACTCCCGTTCTTGCTGTATCTGAAGCAGTGAGCAGCGACTCACGAAAGCTCCTCCCTTGCCACAAATTGTGTTAGTCTTTAAGGTGCTCCTGGACTCTGGCTCTTTTCTACCGCTACAGACAGACTAATAGATAACGTCCAATAGAAATACAGTGCTGGGAACCCATGAGAGTGGTTCCCGCCGAAAACATAGGCTTCTCTGATTGGTTAGTTCTTCAGTCCAGACACTGCTTTGTCGTAATAGAACTTATGCTTAAGCTAAACAGTGCTTTATTAGCTTAAGACATAACAGGTCGGATATAAATCTCTGCTTCTGATTGGCCACTGGAGATTTGATTGGCCGTGCAGATTTTTTTTTTTAAAGGTTGCTTTTGCAGCCGCTTTGGCGGGAGGGCGGGATAAAAATCAAATAAATAAATAAACAAATAAACAGCGCTACCCATCTTGATAATATTTGTTCATTAATGCTAAAACTGAACATGGACATTCCATTTCTAACACCATGTAATGGGGGTGGGGTGGGGATTCTACCCCTATCCTACACTGAGCGAACTTTGGAGCCTTTCTCCATGTTAAGCGCATCTCCTCCAAACAAAGGTTCCAAATGTTGCTTGCTGGAGCGGGAGAATTGGGGCCGGGTCCACAGACAGAGACCCAACAAAATGAAGAATGGCTTCAAACAGGGGTTCCCAGCCTTTTTTGAGCCTGCGGACACCTTTGGAATGCTGACACAGCATGGTGGGTGTGGCCACAAAATGGCTGCCGCAGGAGGCGGAGACAGCCACAAAATGGCCGCCACAGCTTCCCTTCGGTCCCCCAGCGCAGGTCCTTGTGCTCTGTTGGCAGCTGCTGCAAAAGCAAGGCCAATCAAATCTCCAGTGGCCAATCAGAAGCAGAGATTTATATCCAACCTGTTAGGTCTTAAGTTCAGGGCTATTTTTGGGCAGGAACACACGGGAACGGAGTTCTGGCTGGCTCCCAAGTTGGCCACACCCAGCAGGAACTCATTAGCATAACAGGCCACACCCAACAGCAGAAACTCATTCGGATTGGCTACATTAGGGGTGTGTGGCCTAACATGCGAAGGAGTTCCTGCAAAAAAAGCCCTGGGTTTGGACAACAAACAAAGTAAACAGAATAAGAAGCAAAAGGTGGGTGTGGCTGGATGAGCACACTTCTGGTAACATGGGGGTGCGGCCTAATGTGGTAATGAGCTGTGCTGTCGGGGGTGTGGCCTAATATGCTAATGAGTCTCTGCTGTTGGGTGTGGCCTATTATGCTAATGAGTTCCTGCTGGGCTTTATCTACAAAAAGAGCCCTGCTTAAGTTAATAAAGCACTGTTTAGCTTAAGCATAAGTTCTATTACAACAAAGCAGTGTCTGGATTGAAGAACTAACCAATCAGAGAAGCCTATCTTTTCGGCAGGAACCACTCTCATAGGTTCCAAGCCCTGTATTTCTATTGGACGTTATCTGTTTGTTGGGTGTGTTTACCCCTGTTCAAATCGTATATAAGCCAGCCTGGTTACACGCAGTCTTGGTCTTGAAGTCTCTGTCTGTTCTTGTGTTGTCATGAGCTGAATAAACATGAATCACTTGTTTAAGAGCCGCCGGAGTCTCAGAGCGGCTTACAATCTCCTTTCCCTTCCTCTCCTCACCAACAGACACCTTGTGAGGTCGGTGGGGCTGAGAGAGCTTTCTCTCTCTCTCGACAACTGCTCCTGAGAGAACAGATCTGAGAGAACTTGTGACTGACCCAAGGTCACGGCAGCAGCTGCATGTGGAGGAGTGGGGGATCAAACCCCATTCTCCCAGCTTAGAGTCTGCGCCCCTAACCGCTACACCAAACTGGCTTTCAGAAGCCTTGCTGGGCAAAAGCCCCACCTGGCTATTTCCTAGGGTTGCCAGGTAGTGCTTGGCATAGGGTCGGCAGCGTTGGGTTGGGAAATACCTGGGGAGGGCAGGGTTTGGGGAGCTACCATTTGCCCCTTTGGGTCCCTATTGGGGAGGAAGGTGGGGGTATACACGATGATGTAAATAAAAAGCTTTGAGCGCTTTGACTATTTAAAAGTTAAATGCTATGATCAGCCGTGCATCCGGCATAAAGCCGAGGGAGTGTACAGGAATATCAATGACATTTCTAGCCTGCCCCTTCCTTTGGCATCTTTATATTTGCACCCACAGTTACCACATCCTCCATTTTCTCTTCACACCAGCCCTGTGAGGTAGGTTACACTGAAGGAGTAACCGGCCCAAGGTCACCCAGGAAGCTTCGTGGCAAAGTATGGCTTGGAACCTAGTTCTCCCCAAGCTGACGCTCTAACCATTACCCTACACTGCTTATTATATACCATTTATGCCCATACATAAGCAACCCTGTAGGACTGACCTACTATTAAAGGGTAGTTCGTGCTCCTTGGATACAGTGTTCCCTCTAAGCTGTGGAGTCTTGTGAGCAAAAATTCTACTTTGTGAGCTACTGGCATTAAAGTTGTGAGCGAGTGATTTGGCTGCTGCATAAATTAGTTTCCTCTGGAGCCATCCTTCCTGAGCTAAGACAAAAATGTGTGAGCTGGAGGCTAAAAAACTGTGAGCTGGCTCACACTAACTCAGCTTAGAGGGAACACTGGATACAATATAGGAGATGGACGTTTAAATGACTGCAGGAGCTTCGTGGGAATGCTAAAGACCGAGAAGGAAAGACGCCCAAATGCTTGCTAGCCTAAATCCATCATCCTTACTCTACCTGGCTTGTGCATTGGTCAAGGTAGCTTTCCAGGAAGAAATCCCCATCCATGGCTTGCTTCTCTGCTACAGAACAGCACCAAGGAACATGCGAAAGGCCACCCCCAGTGCAGCAAATAGGATAATCAAGTGGCTAGAACTCATTATGGAGGTGAAAGGGGGAACTGCTGTTGAAGAAAGAACCACACTCTCTCCAGCTGAAGTCAATTGAATGTATTTGTCTTGAAAGAAGGCTTCTCCTAATCTAAGAACAAAGATTCAGGTGTCCTTCCTTCCTTCCTTCCTTCCTTCCTTACTTCCTTCCTTCCTTCCTTCCTTCCTTCCTTCCTTCCAACTGGATTGTTTTGGGTACAGTTCACAGCTTTGGGATGGGAAGTACCTGGAGATTTTGGAAGAGGAGCCTTACAGGGCAGGGTTTGGGGAGGGTGTAATTAGGGATACCAACCTCCAGGTGGCGGCTGGAGACCTCCTGCTGTTACATCTGACCCGCAGGCAACAGAGATCAGTTCAGTCTGGTAAGGAAAAATATATACAGATGTGCGCTAGATGCCCACGGAATAATACAATGACAGAAGAGACTAGATTACAGCCATAACATCATTTAGTGTCTGGTAGTGAAAAACAGGAGCTGCGGTGGCTCAAGTGGTTAAGACGCTGAACTGCAGGCTGTGGAAGGTCAGTAGTTCAGCAGTTCGAGACCCGGGTGTGCCACATGACGGAGTGAGCTCCCGTCTCTAGTTCCAGCTCCTGCCAACCTAGTAGTTCGAAAGCAAGAAATTGCAAGTAGATAAATAGGGACCACTTCGGTGGGAAGGTAACAGCGTTCCGTGCGTCTTGGTGTTTAGTCATGGCGGCCACATGACCACGGAAACGTCTTCGGACAGCGCTGGCTCTTCGGCTTTGAAACGGAGATGAGCACCGCAACCCTAGAGTCGGACTCGACTGGCTTTCGAGCAAGGGAACTCTTACCTTTACGAGATCAACCAGGAGCTGCGGTGGCTCAAGTGGTTAAGAGGTTGAACTGCAGGCTGTGGAAGGTCGGTAGTTCAGCAGTTCGAGACCCGGGTGTGCCGCATGACGGAGTGAGCTCCCGTCTCTAGTTCCAGCTCCTGCCAACCTAGCAGTTCGAAAGCAAGACATTGCAAGTAGATAAATAGGGACCACTTCGGTGGGAAGGTCACAGCGTTCCGTGCGCCTTGGTGTTTAGTCATGCTGGCCACATGACCACGGAAGCGTCTTCGGACAGCGCGGGCTCTTTGGCTTTGAAACGGAGATGAGCACCGCAACCCTAGAGTCGGACTCGACTGGCTTTCGAGCAAGGGAACCTTTACCTTTAGTGAAAATCAACCACTTATTCCTTCACGGGGAAAATACAAAGGTCAATAAAATTACACATAGCTGTCTGCTCCAGACTCTCTCCGTCAGTATCCTTCCAACAGTCTTGCATTCTCAAAAGCCGTCTGCTCCAAATCCAATCTCGCTTTCAACACTTATTCCGGATATTTAAGTGTTTCAGACCTCTGGTCTCTCCTCAGGAACAAATCCTATATAGCAATCCCACATTCAATGTTACATTCAAGTTGACATTTTCATTGATTTAAAAAGGTAAAGGTAAAGGTTCCCTTGCTCGAAAGCCAGTCGTATCCGACTCTAGGACTGCGGTGCTCATCTCCGTTTCAAAGCTGAAGAGCCAGCGCTGTCCGAAGATGTTTCTGTGGTCATGTGGCCGGCACGACTAAACACCAAGGC